GAAGGCAGCGATGGAATCCATGATCATGTTGTCAGAGAGGGAGCTGAATGAGGGAGGAGAAAAGAAGGTGAGTGTGGCCCCAGCTTCCCATATCTCCCCACCCCCAACTGTTGCCCACAATCAAGAGATGTAAAGCTAGAGGGAAGTCCTTGCTTCAATACACCTTTTTGCTACGCTTCTACCCTGATTTCCCACCTACTGCTCTGTCCCTCCCTCACTACCCTCCCAGTTCGTCTTTCTCCTTTTGCCCCTGCTGAGGAGTCTGTAGCCTTCTTCATCCTCTACCAAAATGCACAGTCCTCCCACAGAAAAAAAATTACAGTATGCAACTTTTCATGGGTATTTGTCTGATGTCCCCAACTAGGGTCAAGGCTCCTGGAGGACACTGGCTTCAGCTTTTACTGCTCCGTATTCATTAATCCCCCAAGCCACGGCTGGAATACTTAGCAGGTGCTCAGTAAGTCCTTGATACCTGAGTCCTGGGATATCCAGCAGGTTGGTCATCCCTGTCCAGTTGATATCTAAGGTCTGGAAGCACAGAGCAAGGGAATCAGGACAGAGCATATGGTGGCATGGTCACCCCATCCAACAAGTACCAGACCCCTCAGCCTGCTTGTCAATTCCCTCCCCCATAGCTGGCCACCCTCCCCCTCCCAGTCCTCTGTTTCCTCACTCATCTACCCCTCCTCAATGTTTTCCCTTACCGGGCGTCGGATAAAGAACATCGACACAGCCCCCACGATAGGAAGGTCCCCAATAAGTGGCTCAAGAATCACCCGCAAGACACCATGTAGCTGGGCCAGGAAGAGAAAAGCAAAGCCTTTCCTCAGAAGAGGCCTTCATTCTCCCACAAACCTCCCCAGCCTGGGTTTTCCCAACCTCCCACTTCCCTACACCTGAGGAAACTTAGGGCAAAGGCTTCCCTTGGAGGCTCCTGACATCTGCCCCACCTGCATGCCCTTGACTCCTGCTTTGCAGAAATATTTCTTCACTTCCACATCAATCTGTACATCACCTACATAGCTGGGGGTTGATGAGGAAGAGAACAGAGCGGGTTAGTACAAGGTTGTAGTGGGGGTCCAGGAAGTGAAGTAGAGTGACCAGGAAGGGAAAGCGGGAAGAGTGGTGAGTGGCATTACCTGACGTTCAAGTCCATCAGGATCTGCTCTTTTCTCTGACCAGGGTGAACCTTGACTCCTAGGATGCGCAGTGGCTGGAGAGAGATGAATTCTTGAGAGGGGATGGAAAGGGAGGAATACCTCAGCCTCCTTTGGGCCACCCACCTCCCCTGTCCCATCTCCTCTCTTCCATTACTTTCCCTCCTACATACGTACTTTTTCACCCAGTTCCACTCGTGTGAATGTAAATGTCTGCAGGTGAGGGTTAGATCCTCGAACAGCCGGGCCACAGTTTCAGCCAAAAGTTTCTCCATATACTGGCCCAGGAAGGGCCAGACCTGGGCCACAATCTGGGAGGAAAGGGAGCTGATCACAGAGCTGGCCCTCTAAGGCAAGTGCCTTCAGAATCCTCCCCACAGGGAGGACTGGGGACTAGGCTGGGGCTAGAAGTGAAGTATGGCAGGGCCTGGCAAGAGAAACGAACCCCATTCCCCCTCATGAAAAAAAAATCAAGACAATCAACCCTCACCTTGTTTAGCCACTCAGCCTTTTCCACATCTGGGAAGCTGACCTGGAGGTGGAGGAAGCAGACAGTGAGGAGCACACCCCTGCTCCTGGGCCCTACTAAGGTGCCGGGTGGGATGCCCTCTGAGGAAACCTAAGTGCGACAGAGCCTCCTCACACCCAGGGGTTGGGGGTAGGGGCTGGGGTGTCCTAAGATTCATTCCTCCATATTGGGTTTGGGGGCACTGAGGTCTCTGACAAAGGGAGCTTCCAGGGTGCAGGCCACACCATGTTGCTTTGTGGATAGCTCAGGGAGGTGAACTGACAGCTGCTGGGGCAGAGAGGAGGAGGGAAGAGAAGGGCACATTCTTTCTGGAGGGGGAGGTCCTGACAAGTCAGAGTTTGAGGAGGAAATCCTGGGACTGGATTAGTCCGGGTTCCTTTTACCAGCCTTCCCTCTAACCCTCAGACTGGGACTTCTATACCAAGAAAGTGAAGAGGGAAGCGGCTCCTGAGTTAGGGAGGGGCCAGAGGAGTTATTTAGGCCCAGGCTGCTGTTTTCTTTTTTGTCAATGTGACTCCTTTTACAGGAAGGAAGGACACCTGTGCTTTGTATTGGGCGGAGGAGGAGTTGCCTTAGGAGAAAGATTAATTTCCATGATGAGGAGTAGGAGGAACAGAGGCAGTTGCTGCCTGGGCTATAAGTCTCCTGGGGCCATTTCTCCCCCTTTCTCCACCCCAGTCCAGGATCTGGGTAGCAAGGCCGTGTCTGCCTTGTGTCAGCTTTGATTCTCCCTCGACGGGCACCTCTGCTGGGAGGAGCAGGAAGGGAGGGGCTGGGTAACAGGCTCTGCCTCTGCAAGGCCTAAGAGAAGCCATTCTGGCCCCTCAATAGAGGAGAGGGGCGTAGTAATAGGGTCCTGGCCCCAACCGTGAAAGCGCGGCCCACAGTCCGGAAAAGGGTGGGGCCGGCCAGGGGCGGTGGAGTGTGGGCAGCGGGCACTGCAGCAGCCGCACTGCCCTCCCCCCAGCACCCCCGCCCTTTGTCCAGCAGCCGCCTCCGCTGCGCTGCGGCCCCGCTGCCTGAGGCTGGAAGACGAGGGCCGGAGGGTCCGTCCAGGTGCAGGGGCTCGGCTGCTCCCGGAGCTGGGTCCCAGGGGTACCCAAGGATAAGAGCGGGAAAAGGAAGAACCTTACGGCCTTAAGAAATTTTTTAAAAGTCCTTGGGAGGACAGGAAAGACGAGGGAACCCTCTGAGCGGGAACGGGGATGCCCAGCAGCAGCAACGGCGTGAGTGGCACCAGGAACGAGGAGGGGCATTCGAGCAGCTTGGAGGAAGAGCCACTGCTGAGACGGGCTCCTCAGATGTTATTACTGCTCTTGCCCAAGCGTATAGGAAAAAGTCCTGATTTTGCTGAAGAACCGGGATCTGGGCGTGCGGAAGGCGGAGGTGGGGCGGCGAGGGGAGGGGAATAGTCGGTCCCAAGAGAGGCGCGTTCCAGCAGGCAGGAGGCTAGCGAGGCGGGAGGGGAAAGTCTGGGGTCCATCGTCCCAAGGTGAGGAGCTGACTTTAGGGACAGGGAGGGAGAGCCCTTCTACTGGAGGGCTAGAAGTGGGCTATGCTGCACTGAGGATTGAGGGGGGTCGCTTACCCAGGCAGGTAGCTCTCGATGGCTCATGTAAAGAGTTTTTGCCGTGAGCCGCTCCTCATCGTCCAGCAGCTGCCGCGCTACTCGAAGGCTCCGTTCTTTCTCCTCGCGGACCCGGCGCCAGCCCAGGTAGAGGGCGAGGCCGAGGAGCACGAAACCCACGCTGAGTCCCATTGCGCCGGCCAGGTACACCGGCACCAGCACCAGCAACCTCCGCCCAAACGAAGTCAGCACCGCCAGGGCCTCACCCGCCGCGCCTGGGCCGGCAGGTTGGTTCCCAGAACTCTGCTCCGGCTTTGTGTTTGCAGTGGGGGACAGGTCAGGGGGGTCGGAGGGAGTAGAGGGCTGGTCCACGGGGCTAGGGCTGGAGTCGTCTCCAAGAGAGCGCTCCATGGTGCCACCTCTGGGAGGACCCACCCGACCCAGAGACCAGCTAGCGGTTGCCTAGTCTTGCGACCAGCTCCCCTCTACAAACCAAAAATCCCAGAATGGGGGAGGGAACTTCAAGCCACGCCCTCTTCCCTGACGACTCGGGTTGGCCCGCGCCGCAGAGACCAAGGTGGAGTCAAAAGCTCGAAACCCCGCCCCCTTCCGCGGGGAGCGGGAGAGGGCTCCGGAAAGGCAGGACCTTCCTGATTGGACCAGAGTGTCAAGATGGGCGGTCTGGGATGGCGGGAAAAGGAGTAAAAAGGCTAAAAGTGCAGCCTGTGATTAGGCAGAAAGAGAAGGAGGCGTAGCGTACCACTTAAAGAGGAGAGGTGGGACCAGGAGTTCCCCCACGTGGGATTGGAGTGCCTGTGGTATGACGTCATGCAGAGCCGCGTCGCGAATTACTCGGTTTTAGAGCAAGCTGGGGTTGTGAAGTTGAGTTGTGGAGGATCAGGATTTCCTTTCACTCCATTCAGACAGTTTGGCAGGATTTAGTCTGGGATTCCTACATGCTCATTTGTTAACTTTCCCTAGCTTTCATACTTTTTCCCCTGGGTCTCCTTACACAAGGAAAGAAATTACCCTATTTGGAATTAAAGTGTTCAATGACTGACCTTGTTTGTCCTGTTCCCCAGTCTTATACCTTGTCTATGCGCTGTAAAGACAGACACTACAGAAAACGGGAGAATCTGAGAATTAGAGTTGAGATTATCCAGCCTTCAGGGAAGAGGGGAAAAAAAGGCGGAGTGAATAGGAAGTGAGGCTTTATTTCTCTTTAGAAATCTCCAGGTTATTCCATTCTGTCTCCAAGAGTTAAAGGACAGATTAAAACTAAATTGGCTCCAAAGTGGGGAGGGGGATCAGGTGCAGCAGAAATGATTACATTTTCCTAGAATTTCCTGACCCCGAGGAACTGCTAGGACACGAAAATGAGAAATCAAAAGTAATGAGACGATTCTATTTCTCATTTGCCTGAGTTATAAGGAAGGTTTAGAATACTGTCAGATGTAGAACTAATGCAGTTCTACATTGCACTGCGTAGGTTTACGAACGGAAAAATGCAGGGTTCATTGATGATGACTAAGTTAACTGGTGGAATGTTGTCTAGGGACTTAGAAAGTGGACTGATTGAAAGCCCAGGAGGGAAGGGTTGGTGATAAGATGATTACCTTTTAATGCAGTATATGTGGGGCTCGTTGTGTTATTCTGTTTGATGCAGCAGGGGAACTAGGATCGATTGTTCGAAAGAGACTAGATCTGCAGCTGTTAAATTTTATCTGGCTCTGCAGGACAGATTTCATCAGGCTGTGTTTCATCAAAGCTGCTTAAAACATGTCCCTGCCCAGCCTTCCTCCCTTAATCTTAAAATTTCTCACTTCTTTTTCTCTACTTCCCTGAAGATAACACTATCTAAACTGCTTCTTTGGAGGATGTAAGAGGGATCTACTTACCAACTGATGAAGAACTATGGCAGGAAACTGGATGAACCTCCTTAGAGAGAAACTTCTCATTAAACTGAAATTTGCCAAGCACTGGAATAGGGGGAAGGAATCCCTTAGGCTGGAGGATGGAGAGGGCGATCTATAGAGGTTCCTTTCCAAACTTTACATTTTTCATCCTATCTAAGTCATCAGACCCTCGTACTGAAGATGGTATATGGAGGACAAAAACTCATCCCCAGGAAGGTCTCTTCCCATCTGGGACCCAGGAGCCACAGAATCAGCAGCTGCATTGCAGGCACCAGAACAAGTAAACAGGGTGGGTCCCCGCGCATTGACAATTCTGCTGCCCAGGTGCCACCTGGTGGTGATAAGCAGTAAGTGGGTAACAATAAAAAAAGATGGCCATTTGATAGAGGAAGTGTCTTAAGTGAGGAGAGTACTGAGACTTCCCGGGTTTGCAATCTGCATTTATATGTAAACTACAATTGCCTCTCAGGGGAGGCAGAGGGTGGGATGTTGTAATCTGGTCCCAGCCTACTCTAAAATGGAAGTGTCAACAGGCTTTGAGGAAACTTCCTCTGTATTATTCCTAGCAAGTTACTGCATAGTGGTCCCCTTGTTGGATGGCTGTTATCATTAGAACTATCTTATGCCAAGTCTGCCTAAACAGATTCCTGGCTCCATTTCTTACTAATTGCAGAATCCTGGGTTGATTACCCTCTTTAAGCCTGCCTGCTCCTCTGCAAACTGGGTAGATTAATAATACCCATCGTGTCAATGAGATACTGCATGTAAAGTGCTGAGCAGAGTGCCTTGGTTTATATAAAGTACTCAAATGTTAGCTATTTTTCTAGAACTTCCTGCTTATTTCCTATGCAACAAGGTAGGACCTTTTCTCCACTAGGCAGCCCTTCAAATCTTTGAAGACATCTACTGGGTCTACCCTCAGTCTTCTTGTCAGTTATTTTCAGGTACCACACTAGTTTGTCAAGGGCCCTCTCTAAAAACTGTTTAGAAGAACACACACGTCAGAATTGGTCCCACTCCTACAAGGCTGAACTGCTATATTTACACTGTGTAACTATGGTTCTCTTATCCTTATGGAGCTCCTAGAAAGGCACCTAGAACAGAGCAGGCTCTTAATATTTATTGACATTATGAAGAGTAAGATTTTAATTTTATGTAACCAATTGGAAGTCCCACGTTGTTCTCATGTGAATTACTGCTAATGTAGATCTCTGCATTTGTTCCTCAGAGAGGCACAAACAATTTTTCATGGGGAGAGTCAACCTAAATTGATCCAAATTGACCCCTTGGCTTAATTTAGTCAATCCAAGTTACAGACACTTTCAATATTACTTAGTACTTCCTTGTGTTACTGTTGGGCTCTTCATATTTTTATACTTTTTTTTTTTAAAATAAAACATAACCTTTGGGGATATCACTAGAGACTAGAGATTTCTCTAACATGAATGTGCTAATCAACATTTACTAGGCACAAATGTTCAGTTTTAATTCTGTCAAATGCTACTATTAACCAACCCATTATTTGCTTATCTGCAGTGACTTAGCAGGTGAGAAAGTGGAAAGAAGCTCTGACATCTGGGAACTGGCCTGATACAGCTAGGTTTGGAACTGTTAGGGGCTAACCTGGGCTCACAGGTAGGAAATGGTGCTCTCCTGTTGGACAGAAAGCCTCACAAAACACCAACATTAGCCAAGGACACTCAGTAACTGTGATGAAGTGAGGCAAAAAACAAGACCACTTTGAAATTGTGCTTAAGCACTAAACAAGGTAACTGTGCAAACCACAAAACAGCAAACATCCCCCTCTCCCAGCTAATGAGTGACTGCTGCTTCATTACCTATTACAGCTTCAGCTTCACTTTAGTCCGCCCTTTTTCTAGATAAGATAAAGATAGCCAATCTTGGAATTATCCCTGCTTCCCTGACAGCACTGAATCCAGAGTGAAGCCCCACTTCCTCAAACCTTCCCCTAAGTCACTTTAGCAAAGTCCAGGTCCTGTAAGTCCTTTCTGACACCCTCTTGCAAGATACACTATGGTTCTGCATGGCATGTTCTCTCCATCATTGCAATGAGCATTAAATCCAATTTGTTCAACTGCAGGTGTACCCCTGGTGGTCTCTAGCTGGAGTACATTAATAAAGTACCGACAACATCTACAGTTTCCCAAATCTACCTCTTTAGAGATACTTAGCAAAAAAAAAATAGTAAAGTTAGCTTGTCAGAATTTGGCCAAGACGAATTCACATTGGTATCTATGATCACATTTGTCTAAATGCTCATAAACAATCTCTTTTAATAATCCAGAACTGTGCCAGAAAATCAACATTAAGCTTTTCAACGTGTACAATATTTTAGTATTTGCCCGTTTTTAGTCTTCAGCCCCCCTCCCCCCTTAATGACTAGCCTTTACCTAGCCCACCATCTTCAACCCCAGGTGTAACCTGAGTGATCAACCAGACAAGAGAACAAGAGGTAGCACGAAACGATGGGGAGAGAACAACCCAGGATCACTTTCTCTAGCCCCAAATCCACTGACCATTAGACTAGACACCTGAGTTGTTTCCCCTACAACAGCCATGAGCTGAGGAGGAACTGAGGTTTGGCTACCGGGACCCCTGGCCTTACTTTTTAATTGGATTGAAAATCTTTGTAGTTCTAAGTGGAGGCAGAGGGAAGAAAGGGATGAACCCTGAGGCCGGTGTTCCCAGAAGAACTCTCCTTTTCCCAGCACCTCTCAAGCCTTGAAGGCTTAAGGCACTGGTAACTGAGGACAGGATGGGGTGGGAGGGATGTAACTGCCATCAACAACTCAGATTGCAGAGCCACCTGCCCTGCTCTGTTTGAATAAGGGAAGATCTGTCAATACATATCCCATTCTATTTCCCAGCACAGCCCCCTCCTTAGTACCTGCCCCCCTAAATGACCCTAGGAACCCTGGTTACTAAGGCAACCTGGGAATAGTACATGCAGATAGAAACCTGAACAGATGGGACTATTTTTAAACTAGACTAGGTGGCTCCGATGTTTTTACGCTGTGAATTGCCTTCCCCAAAGCCTTTGGTCTTGGTCTTGGTCTTGGTCTTGTCCTGGGTCCTACCCTTCTTCACTGGCTTCCATCCAACCTTACCCAAGTTATGTGAGAGTAGGGTCTTTATCTCATTTTGGCATGAGATCTATTTACTGCTCCCATCTTCTACACAGAATATCTAAGCAAGTTTTCACTGCCTCCACTTGTTAAAAATAATTTTTTTTTATTTCTTTGGAAAATGGTGGGCCCTGCCCTATGGATTGCCAGGCCAAGCCAGGTACTGAAAGCTCCCCTAGTCTTTGGGCTGGAGTACTGTGGTCCCCGCCTTCCCACGGGCCCAGGAGCAGCTCCTGTACTGTCCAGCTCAACTAGGCCCCCAAATGTCTGAAGGCTCCTATGAGGCCTTTTCTCCTGGCCACCCACTTCCCCATCTTTCCTGGCTTTCCCTCTGGACAGGGTATTTTTTTCTTCCAAAGCCAGTGCTGGAACCTGTGCTGTGCAGAAGAGAGGACAAGACCAGGGATGTCCCCAGCTTCCCATCAGAGGACACACAAGCCCTCAATCAGTCCTTCCTCTGCTGGCTTCAGTCTGCGCTCCTATGCAAGCCCCCTCTGTGAGGCTTGAAGGAAGATGGACAAGAGAACCCTCATAAAAGGGAGGTGAGAGAAAACACACCAACCCAATCCCTTCTCAGAAGCAAACTCCTTGTAGTTTCTTGTCCTCGTTCATGGGTGAGCCCTTCGGACAGGGCGTGGGATGGCTAGGCGAGTGGGTGGGTAAGGGCCCCTCGACCCCAGCCCTGGAAGGCTATACCAGGGGAGTGTCCATTAGCCCCATCAATGTGGCATGGCTGTGATACGCATGCTCTGGGAAGCGATGGGGTAAGTCACCATGGGAGTGGTGGTGTGGCTCATTGTGATTCCTGCCAAGGGCTGGGCCATTGATACGGCCACAGGGGCCACAGGAGCCACAGATACAGCCACAGGAGCCATGGAGACAGGTGGGGGTGCCATTCCCTGGGCAATGGTTTGAGCCAGAGCAGCTGACAGTGGCGTGATCTCTGGGTTCAAGTGTGGGGGTGGGGGTGGTGGAGCAGCAGGAGGTGCAGTATTAGTTGGGGGAGCAGCTGGAGCTCCAGCAGGGGCCACCAGTTCTTGCTGGGACACGGGGCGAGGCTGTAGAGCCTGGCTGCTGAGAGTAGTGTGAGTCTGGGCGATGCCATGGTTAAAAGTGGCGACAGTGCCCACGGTGGGGGCCAGAGTCTGCTCAGTCGCTGGTGCAGTGGAGCTGAGGGTCATGACCTTGGCCTGATTGCGGAACTGGGCATTTTGTTCCAGCAGTACCTCGTTGGTGGCCAGCAGGTTGCTGACCTGCTTCTTCAGCTCCTCTACCCGCTTCCTGAGCATGGCATTCTCCTCTTCTAGCAGTCTGCACTCCACCCCTCGGGACGAAGCCAGGCTGTATTCATACGATTCAAAATGGGGGCCATCTGGGGGGCAGCATCCACCTCGTCGGCGCTTGGGGCCTGGCTCATGGTCCTCAAAGCCCCTGTCAGGGAGGTCGTAGATATCATAGAGATCGTGACGTCGTCCTGGGGGAACTGGGCCTGTTGAGCCCCCACCACCAGCGCCTCCTCCACCCCGGGCATCAAACTCAAAATCTCGTTGCAGGTGCCGGAACTTGCACTTGGCTCCTCTCTGGCAATCACCCTTGAGAAAGTCACGGCAGATAGGGACCTCCTCCTTGCCATTTGGTAGGTCAGCTGGTGAAAGGCCCAGGCCGGCTGCCACTTTCTGCCTCAGCCGAGGAGGAAGCTCTCCTGTCTTTTTATAGCCATCCTCATCCTCCTTGGAGCCATGGATGAATCGACAGTTCGGGCGGCTACACTCCTTGTTCTGGAAGTCGTGGCAGAAGATGAACTCATTTTTGCTCACCCCCAAGTTGGAAACCTCACTCATGTCTGGATGGCGATAACGGCAGCGCTTGCCTCGCTTGCACACATTCCTCAGGAAGTCTCTACAGATGGCATCTGAGCTGGCCCCGCCACTGCCTGCCCCTGTCCCACTGGCCTCCTCACTGCCACCGCCTCCAGGGCCTCCACCGCTGCTCCCAGTGCCGTTGGCATAGCTGTCCCGGTCCGGCATCCTGGTCCCCCCCAATTCAGGGCTCTCTTCCTTTTCTTGCCACCCTTGGTGACTGCTAGAAAAGAGGAGAACTGTGTCAAATAGGAGTCCTCGACGGAGGTCAAGCTCTTCCTGACTATAGGAGAGGCAGTCCAGCAAGAGGCAGGCCAGAGGGGCAATGGCTTTGGAGATGGAGAATCCAAGGGATGTGAATTCTGCCTTGACTGGCTGGCTTGTCAGAAGTCCCACCCAGGCGCTAGCTGTGCACCTGGCCTGGGTCAGAATGATTCATCCTTGCCTGGCTAATGGAGGAGGGAGGGAGCTGGGGTCAAGTCACCTCACCTCACCTAATGATGACAGGCCAAGGAGGGTGCAGGGAAAGAACAGCACTGGATTTTATTTCCCCTTCTGAACTGACCTAATTAAAGTTGTGGAAGCAAAATTAAAACTGCCGTTTGTCGTTGTCTGAATAGGCTAAGAGGAGACTAGGAATAGTGGCCAAGATAAGCTGGTAAGCTATTAAGATTGTGGATAATAAGATACTGGTGACAGAACTTCCCTGAACCTCTCTTCCATGGGATCTCAGGTGAGGGCTCTGTGAAGTATCAGATCTCTAGATCCCAAGAAATCCTGAGTAAGGAGACTGGTATCACCAGCTTGAGGGCAGTCCCTATACCTGTCATTTTTTGGTATTCTCTCCCAGCTCACCACCGTTCTCAACCCTAGAGTGGTCAGCCTCTCCCCTCCATTTCAGAGGAAGAATTCTACAGCTAGACTCTCCACTTATAGGCCCCCACAAAGGACTAAAGCATTTTGGGGAGGTCAAGGCAATAGAAAGGAGTTAACTTCACAAGGACAAGGGATCTTTCTTTACCCATTCTATACCCCTTCCACCCTTCCATGGAAAGATCCCACTGACATGAAACCACACCATTCCTCACCCCATAAAGATCCTCTTTATTTATAGACTCTATAAAAGCTTTTTAAGTCTTCTCTTTCCCAAGAGGGCTCAGGAACGTCAGTCCACTGCCGTGGTTCTAGCCCTCCCCTCTCCCCACCCCCAACCAGACTAGGAGTCCCTGCTACCACGTGTCTGACCTCCTAAGCCTTTCCTAGGCAGTGTTCAGGCTCCCTCTGCTGTTCAAATAGTAAAACGCCATGCTGTTTCCCCATGAGTATAAGGGAATCTTTCCAGTTTCTTTGGCCTTGATCGCCCCTCAACCATCTAATCCATTGCTTCGACTTTGCGTTCAAGGTAAAATGAACCCTAAAATGAACCGACCAGATCAGAGACGAGAGAATCTGTAAAAGAGGGGTCCTCTTCCCCCAAAGGGAGGTAGTCCCAGAATGATAGAAACAATCAAGGAGAACAGCGGGAAAAGAAAAGATACAAACTTTTACTAAAAGGGAAATGACCTGGTGAAAAATAAATGGTACCTACCCAAGCCTGATTCACGTTGCAAGTCCCACCAGACACAGAAAAATCAAACGAGATACCCCTTCCCACCCAGCTCTCCCAGGATTGTTCGATACCTGAGGTAGCTCAGGTGAAGTCCGGGGCTCCTGTGGGTCTCCACCTCCACATCACTGCTGGGTTCTGAACAGGAGAAAAACAGAGACTTGGGTGGGAGAAGGGGTAAGAATGGAGGACTAGCGAGTGGTTGTTACAAGACTGAAGTCTGACAAAAAGGCAAGAGCTCTGGGAACTTCAAGAATTCCTTAGGGTTCAAATTGAACTTCACTTGTCAAGGGGAAAAGTTGCCAGCAAGAAGAGTAAGGGGTAGAACCAATTTGGAGAGCCTAGGAGAATGGGTTTGAAAACCAGCCTCAAGTGAACAAAGGGTGAGGGGCGCCCTGCCTCAAGATGAAGGAGGCTGTGGGGATCAGGGCTCGACCTAGGGTTGGTATTAGGAACTCTGAACAGCGAGCCGTGCAAGGGCAGCGACTGACAGTGCAGTGGGATGGCGGATTAGACTCGGGGGCGGTGATTATGACGCTTCGCAACACCCCAGAGTTAGCGAAAAAAGTCAAGGAGTTTCCTGCAGCAAGTCTTACAGCCTGGCAGGCTCTCGTTCAGTGCCGCCGGGGCTCAGCCGGGGACCAGGTGAATAGGACACTGTGGGAATACGAACTGAAGCGGGGAGGGGGCTCCAGGTGACATCAAGCTGAGGGGATGGGCAGGGCTGTGACGTCACGGAGCTGGCGTTTGCTCGCGAAGCGGGGTCAATCAGAAAAGAGGTTCGGCCCTGAGACGTGAAGAAGAACCAACTCGGCCCCGGGGGGCCTTGTGTAGCCCGGCTGAGACCAGCCGCTGGGCCGGCCCCGACTCCTCCCCTCCGGGCGCGGTCTCCACCTAAGTCTCCCGCCTCCCTCACCTGCCGCCGCCGCCGTAGTTGCTGCTGCCGCCTGCCGGTCCTCTAGCTTCGACAAAGAGCCGCCTACCCTATCGTCCTTCCGCTTCCTGCGGAAGAAAAGACGCTCTAGCCAGCAGACCCGGAACTATACTCTATGGTGTGCAAAGTACTTGCGCGACTTGCCGCAGGAAGTTCCCAGGAAGCTTTGCGTGTCACCATGGCAACCCGATAAAACAGCACAGCAAAGTACCCAAAAAGCGGGAATTTAGCTGAGACACCACTGACCTCTATGCCCCCAAAATCAACCTGAAAGCTGTCCCTGGCGTGTATAACTCCCCTCTCCAGGAAAGGCCACTCAATACTCTGGCAGCTCCGAGGGACGGGAACCAGATGTTGGTCAGGGGCGGGGCCCACACCCGCGACAGACGCCTATACAGCTCGCTTGACATCCTGTACAGCTCGGGGTAGAGGCCGACTGTACTGATAAAAAAAAACTTCCCAATGGAACAACAACAACAAAAAACCACGTAACAGACAAGACGATTTTTTTCCTTCAGCTAAAACAGCAGAAGAGATGGTTTATTGTACACGTGTTACATTCAGCCACAACTGAGAACAGAACTAGTCCAGAATATCACAGGTCCAGGGCAAAGGACCAAAAGGGCCCATTTTGATATGAGCAAGATGGGTCTCTTAAAAAGTGGTCGAGGCGATCAGAATGGCGGTAGATGTTCCAGATCCACTGAGATAAGTTCTGGACAGTAGACATGCAGTCCAACATTATCTAACAGCGTCCCTGGCCTCTGGCTTTCCTTGCTTCTGCTCCTGTGGCTTCCATGGATGTACAAGTTCACTTGGACCTCTGTCTCATCTTTCTTCTTTTGCGCTTCAGCCTGAAAAATCAAACATGAGAATACACTTCCTGCCCACAAGTCCGAGGTTCAGTCTTTCCCTCCCATCTAAAATGTGCACACAATACACGGAATGGGTAAAAATCAACAAACACTACGGCTCTATTAGCTTGTGTCCAATCCCTGGCTTTGGCAAGTCAATGCTCATAACGTTTTTCACTTAAAAAAGATGCTTCAGATTTCTAAACCAAATGTTTCTCCCAAGTTCTGTCCAAGGAGTGCTCCACTTCCCCTATCCTGCAAAGTCTCAGCGTACCTGCGCATTCGCTTCTTCCTCCACTGGCAACCGATCATAACCAGAAACAAAGATTAAAACAAGAGATTATTAGTTTCAGTAGCAAGCTAGGTAGGGTTACGAAGAGCATCATTTAAAACCTGGCAAGTTCTTGACCAAGTATGAAGGCACAGTTGCAGTCATCACATAAACAATCCAGACTCCCAGCCGGGTCTCCAACGTAAAACCCCGAATTCCGCATGCTCTCTTCTACTCCCGCCCTCTCTTCCACATTTACCCACCACCTCCGCTGCTTCTCCCCAAACTATCCTCCCTCTCCCACTAGCCCTTGGGCACCCTTGAGAACCCAATGATCTGGGAATGATGGCGAACTTCCCTTGCCTGGGTCTTCGCCGCAATCGCCAATTCCTACAGCCTTAGCTTACTGGCAGGGACTGCTTACCTTCGCTCTCATTGCGAGGAGGCTTCTACGGGTAAAGAAAAAAAGGCTACGGTTAGTTTGCTGTAATGATGGTAAGTGCAGAAACGAGATGTTAATGGATTGTACTCGGAATCCGCACACAGCCAAAACCGACACTCACCTCAGAAGATGGCGCTAAGGCCGAGAGAGCGCGGAAGGCACGCCTACGGATATTTAAGGGAACATTCAGTGTCGTCACTTCCGGTAGCTCGCCCTGCCCCCGGGGCGGGGCTGCCCTGGGCCAGTAAAGGTAGTTTTCGGTCCTTCTCTGGTACCTGATAAGTGATTGAGTTAGGAGAGTTCTCTTGGAAAACAGTATTTTGAGTTACAAAATCCCCCTTTCCCCAGTTTTATTATGAATTATTTAAATATGAGCACAGTGTTTCCAATAAGAGACAAAAATGCAGACCAGCAAAGATAGCGACTTCCGCTTTCCCTCATTGCTTCATGGGAATTGCAGTTTCCTGGCGACACCCTCCATTTTACTGCGGGTTGAATGAAGTTTTGGATACATGGATAGGTGCGGACTGTACAAAAATTCCTGATTTGTTGTATTGGTTTGCTTTATTTTCTATCTAAATTGCTGCAAGGAGAATCGATCTCGGAACTTCCAAAGGTCCTAAGATTCCAGAACATGGAAGAATGTTAAGTGGGGACTTGAGAAAACTGTCATAATACAAAGAGAACTTTGTCGCTGAAATTGATCAGCTCTTTTCCTAGCCAACTCTGATCTTTTCCCACAACGCCAGAGGCAGAATGTCACTAGACTCCTGGCCACAATGCGTCTTGTTCAGAAAACACTTCAGTGATACTCCCTCTACATAGGGTGAGAATCAAATCAATGGACAGAGGAGAAGCAAGACTGGCTAGACATTTTAGGAGAATATTTGTTGGTAAGATAACATTCCCAGTCTCATGATATGGTCAGGTCAGAAGCACCCAGAAAACAGACACCCAAAGACTTGACTACAGGGACCTTGAATTATGAAGGATGAAAGAGCACCCTTAATCATAGAGGCTTCACCTTATTCACTGCAAGATATTTTAAGGCTTGTTATAGTCCCTCCTTTTTTAATGGTTTTCCTTTATAACATTTCACCTTTTTAACTCTGGCAAGTTTCTAAATTTAGAGCCCTTGTTCCAAGTGCTTAAGTGGTTCTAGTACTGTCACCACCAGAATCTACCAAGCTTTTGAAAACAAAAAATAAAAACCGAGCCAAATTATTCTGTATCATATCCACCAAGATTGCACCTGTTGATTGCCCCCTAGTCTGTAAACTCTTATGAAGGAATCTTTGTTCAGCTTTATTCAGCACAGGGGAGTGGGTCTATACGATACTCAGTGGTAGAGTGCATGTATCTTTATTCATTCATTCACTCATTAATTTATTGGGGTGGGTGGGTTAGATTTATTTTTATAAGAGGTACTGGGGATTGAACCCAAGACCTCTGGTATGCTAATCATGCACTCTACTACTACAGCTACAACTCCCCAGCTCCCAGTACCTCCATTAAAAAAATTTTGCTCAGTATAGTATCTTCAGCTCAGCAATGCCTCATGTTAAAATGCTCTAATTACGCATCTACTCTTAAACTGGCTGTGAAAAATTGCGTAATACTAAAGGCGTTCTTCCTGGCTTCCTAAATCAAGATAAACACTTCTTTGCAATAAACATTGTATCCTTGAGCAAAGTGTCAGCAGCAAGGGATGTTTTTACTTTAGAAAAATCAAACTCCCATAGAAAATTGACTCTTAATTCAGAGAACCCAATCCAAGATATTCCTTATTTTAGAAAGGCAGTAGATGGCTATAGAAAACCAGTTCCAAATGATCACCAAAAAAACCCAAAACAAACATTCTAAATGATCACTCATATCTCCCCCACCACATCAAAAAACAGCAGCACACAAAGGCACATGATTATGAGCAAATCCAAATTTATTTTAATGCCATGTCATTTTCAATATGTTTAAAAACCTCATAAATTAGCGGGAGCCCTAAGTTCCCTGGGACAGCATGCCAGAGGTACTGAAATTTGTCACCCTTCTCTCCAAACCCCTAGCAATTCATCCAATCCAAGTCCACAGCTTCAGAAAGCCAACACAGCTTCAGAAAGCCAGTTTTGTCTCTTCAGTCTGCTCCTCTGGTTCCTGGTCTTTCTTTCAAGGAAGGGAGGTCAAAATAATTCAAACAGGAAATAAAACCACAGTTGAGCTTCCAGCTCAGGATTCTAGGATGGAGCAAGGGAAGAATCCCACTGACTCCAAAGAAATGGACAAGGTTGAGATGAATTACTTCTTTACAGCTTTGTGAGGAGGAGAAAGAAAATGAGTCCTGCAGAACAAAATTGACTACAAAGATTTACAAATGAGGATCCATTTGATTGATGAGAATCCCTTAGTAAATGCAGGCTCCAGCTCCTAAAAATGGGAGGGGCCTGAATAGACAGCCTGGGTCATAAAAGGAATCTGGCATGTGGCAAAAAAACAATCTGAAGAATAGCCCCTCTTTATACCGAGGCCTAATAAAATACATGGGGGGAGAAATGGGAAGAGAGAGCAACAAGTCCCAACAGATGGGAAAACGCTGACACTGGAGTGGTATAAAAAAATTTCAGCTGAGTTTCTAGTGGTGGTGGCTACTTTAGCCTCCTTCCCATTCTGTTGTAGGGCCATGAACATCGACCAAGCAGAGAAAAGTAGAAAAAGGCTAGAAAGAGGGGCTTGAAGACGATGGATTTTGACTCCTGATTTTATTATTCAATTTCTCTTTTCTATTTAAAGTAGTCTTCGGTGGCTGGGAAGCCTGGCCTCCCAAAACCAGAGTCAGTTGGAGCTGGTTGTTGTTGGAAGGGGGTGGGTTGGGGGACTGGGATGAGGACAGGGAGACCCCGCTCTGCTGGCGGTCCTGGGTGGTGAAGACGAACTGCACTTCACAGAGCCTGGGGTGAGGTGGGAAGGGGATGAGGCAGGAGTGGCAAGCTGGGGAGATGGGACCCACCTCAGTCCCCAGCTTCATTCTCTTCTAAAGTTTCCCCACTGGTGGCATTCTCTGCAGTCTTAGAGGCCTATATTTATGGAAAGGAGAGGGAGAAGACGCGTCAGTTTCTAACAACCTGGGGTAGTATCCGGGGGATCAAGGACAAAAATACCCTAATTCTCTAGGTCAGGTCTGAGAAGGGGGGAAAAGAAGGACATACAGAAATCGATACCCCCACCACGACCCAGGAAGGCGGAATAAAGAGGGATCAGGTTCATCCTGCCACAGAGGGATGGTCATAACAAACCTTCTTTTTTTTCTTTTTCTGGGTTTTCCGACTTGCAGAACTCTGGAGGAGGGCCTGGAAAATAAGAAGGAAAACAAATTTTGAAGAATATGGAGGAAACACCGAGTGTCACTCTCAGTACCGTAGCTCTTTTCAGGACTTTGTCATCATTTAGTCCTCACTCCCAGGACAAGTGCCACATGCTGGTCACTTTCCACCCACTACTAACCTTGAGCTCTGCATCCTGGACCTCCAACTCGGACTTATAAAGGTCAGGCTCAAAGGGACCACTGGTTATCCGCATGGGGCCATTGGGCATGAGTAGAACTGTAAATTTAAACTGGGCAACAAATTCACCTATGAGGGAAACAAAGTGTTTTGATAAAATGTCCCCTTGTCATACTCTTCTGTAAGCTATAGGGAGGAGAGGACCATAATCAGGGGCTCTCTTCTTAGAACTCACCCTCCTTCTCATAGAGAACATTAAATGGCTGCAGCAGCTCATGTTTGGCGCACTCCACCACACCCATGCGGGCCTTCTTCTCATCTTCAAATGCTCTGGGGAGGGAAAGACAAATTCAGGTGTCCTGAACTCCCTATCATGTCTTACCACTTTGCTCATGTTTTTTAAATAGCTCCTAGCCTTGGGCAGAAATCATGTGTAGGACTGTTTTTTCACACCACCTTCAATGAGAGGGAGATGGGGAGAGGGACAGAACACAGGCTGGAACTACAAGTCTAGGCAGGAGGGAAGTGGGAGGGATGGAGGGAGGGGTGGGGAGGGAAAGAAGTGTGTTCCTGGGTGTGTGGTCTGTGCAGCAGACTGGTTCAAGCTCATCCTCGTTAAGCGCAGCAGTACCTTAAAGTAAAGGGCATGGCATCAAAACGTCTTTCGACCTCACTGAAGAAGGCACGTGAAGTTTTCATTTTCAGGCCATACTGCTTAGAAGGGTCTCGTTTGTAAATGGTGGTTCTCTGTCCTGCGTCCTTAGCCTAAAGAAGTTAGATCACATTTTGGTCCGGTGCTCTTGGAACACACACACCCTCAGCCGCCCCTCTTTGCTAGCTCTGGTAAACGCTCCCCACCTTGCCCTCTCCAGAGCTGACAAGAACATCCACAGCATATACTTCATGGACCTCAAATTCAGCTTTTTCATGGTCCTTCCTAAAAGGAACAGAAGGGGAACCATAAAGAGCAATCAGCAGTTCCTGGAGTTTAGAGTAAAAGGTGGACAAGATTAGCCTGGAGTACGGAAGAAGTTCATGACGAGTCTTGTACAATGGAAGGTACAGGGTGGGATGGGCACCTACTTCTGCTGGTCTGTGGGATTCTGGATAATAGTTTTCTCTCCGTCGATGACATGCTGCTTCAATTGGTGTGACAGCATACCTGTAGACAGGACAAAGCCTGTGGTCCTGCCCATCTAGAATCCCAAAAGACTTCCAACCCACCCACCCAAGCTGATTCACAGGGCAGGCTATGAGAGCAAAGTGCCTGGCTATGGAAACCCAGAGCCCTGAGGTTTTTGGCTTGGACTGTGTCAGAGCCAGGATGGATCCTCAAGGGAGCAAAGTCTTAGTTTTGCCAAACCACTCATACCTCAACCCTCAACCCTACTGAGGTCTCACCTTCTATTGGTGTGCAATTAAATGAGTGGGCAACTTTGTTCCACGCTTCTGTCACTTGTGTGTTCTAGAAATACAAAATCAAATAAAAGTTAAGTTACCAGGGGCTAGTAGTAAGTTGTCTACCACGAGAGTAAGAAGCATAAAAGAACTAAGGGTTCTGATATCCTCCAGCAAGTGCAATGATTCTCATCCATTTTTCATCTCATAGCCCTGTCAACCCTACAACCTAAAGATTACACTTGCATACTGTTTTATAAAGTGCTTTCACGGAGATGGCCTAGACAACAATTCTGGAAGGTGAACAGGGCAGATCTATACCCCAATCTAGAGGAGGAAACTGAGGATCAGAAAGGTTAACTGATTTGCCCAGAGTTAAAGCAGTTAACTGAAAGAATCTGGTATAAACTCAGGTTTTCTGACAACAGTCCAAGTGTTAAGTTCATTATGCCTGGCATTCTAACCTGCAGAGAGGGCACAGAAACTCCTATTTCCCTCTTCTTACCTCTTTCAAACATGATCTGATCCTCACCTAAACTACAGTTATCAAGACAAAAAAAAAAAGGAAAGAAAGAAAGAAAAAAAGAAAAGGTAAGGTGAATTACCAGTCACCGCTAGTTATTAAACTATGTGCCAGGTACTATAATAATCACTTTACATGGATCATCTCAATCTTCACAACCCTGTGAGAATGAGGCACAATTTAATTTTTCCCACCTCACAGATGAGGAAATCTGAACTTGAAGTTATTTTTAATCAGTAGGAGGTGGCAATAGGGTAAGAACCCAGGTCTGACGTCATAGCTAAATAATAGCCACTACACAACACTAGCCTTCCAGTGAAGATACACAGTAGTTAAGTACATAAACAAAAAATAATCAATGTGCAAAATAATAATAGCTAACAGAAGTGCTGTGTGCCAGGCACTGTTCAAAGTAGGTACCATTATAAGGGAACTACAACAGAGGCTTAAGTAAAAATGATGCAGTTAAGTAACAATGGGACAAATTGATGAAAAGTGTGAAGAACAAGGGAACACAGAAAAGGAGAAAAAAAGATGATGCTTTAAGTATTGAACAGGTCTCTGGAAATTTAAGTGTTAAATGCCTCTGCTGATAGTCTAACACGCTAAATTGTATGAATTCCTGAGAAGTTTATGATCCCTGGCCTTCCCAATATTGTCCTGCAAGGACCTCTGGCCTGTCTTTGTCACAGTTTACTGGTTCGATTATGATTTTTGTTTTACAAACTTTTAAAATTGAGTTTTAAAAAGTTTCTTCTGTATAGCACAGGGAACTATGTTCAATGTCTTGTAATAACCTTTAATGAAAAAGAGTATGAAAATGAATATATGTATGTATATGCATGACTGGGGCATTGTGCTGTACACCAGAAACTGCCACATTGTAACTGACTGTACTTCAATTTTGAAAAATAATAATAAAAAATAAACTGAATTTTTATATCTATGTTTTATTGTAAGTTATTGATCTCAAACTGTTTTGGGGAAACACACATCCAAGACATGAAAAAGGAAGGATCTCTATAGGTTCCACGAGGAAGGACCCACACATTCCCTCTACCCGGCACGGAACCATCCACCTATGGTAGGCACTCAGAGTTCACTACTGTTTGGTATTAAGCTTTTTAGTAGTGCCTGCCTCTTCTCTTTCGGTCCCATCCTAAGATGTTGCTAATTTTAAAAAGCTGTTTGTTTTATAAGGGGGCTGAAGGAGAAGCCGGCTGTTCAATACAGAATAGCTGTAGGTGCTCACTGCATCTTTGGCTCTAGCAAGCTTTGGAGTTGGACTAAATAGCTTACCTGGTTTCCAGGTTTAACCAGGCGTAGGGCAGCTTCAGCACAAAGGTGAGCTGCCTTAATGACATCTGCTTTCCGCCCTGTTACTTGAGTCCCCTGTAGATAAGGAAATGCAGTCAGTGCCTTCCTGGAAAGCTCTTTAACTCAGCTGGTCATTCAGTTAATAGCTGTCTGTCCATTATGCAAGGCCCACCAGTGGTCAGGAGAGAAAAAGCAGTCCACCTACCAGAGCTACATCAACCACAAAAGTGTGAGCCACATTAGCGATGAAGCCATCCACGTGGACCCCAAGGTCACTGAAAGGCAAGAGCAGACAGAGCACAGCACTAGCAATGGGCACTATTGTGAATTCTTAGGAAAAAGAAAAGTCTCTAAAATGGCTTAAGCTTACATTTTCACCAAGTCACCTTCCTTGAGAATATAGTCCTGGTCGCTCTTCAAAGGGGAGAAGTGACATACACAGTTATTTACTGAAATGCTGGTGGGAAAGGCAATACCTGTAAAGAGACAATCAGCCTTACTGCCTTGCTCGCTCTCTTGGAGCCCTGCTGCCCCTCAGAAAAATGAAAGGATTTTCTTCAGGGTCTTGCCTAAGTTTAATCAGCTTGGATTGGGTAGGAAACTGCTTAAATGTCCCCTGACATTCCAAATCTCCAAATATCTCAACAAGTGCTGGTGTAGGGGTTGCATCGTTACAATAAAACAAACAGGACTGAGTAAGAGTCAAACTTAGGAAATTAGTGGGGGATTGTTTTTTTACCTTTCTTCATTTCTTTTTCTTTCTTGAAAATTTTCCCCGTCTCTTCCATTATCATGGCATCACCTTTTTCACACAGGCTCAGTACTGACACACCTGAGCAGGATGCTTCCACCAAAGACCGAAGTACCCCTGGAAATAGAAGCCCATCGTATCAGTGCTGCATGTGTTGTCTAAGATACCATCCAAGCAATTTATCCAGAAACGGGACTCACAGTTTCTAATATTCCCTAGTGCCGCTGCCCGAAGGGTGAAAGAAGGAATAAGTTTTGCCTCTAGGGATGTACCTACCTACAATCTCTCAATCTCTACCTCCTTTTCCTCCCTTATATAATGTGATAACTGGGTATGCACCATCTGTCTCCCTAGGCAAGGGAGACTTTCCAAAGATGATACCTGTGGTGTGGTAGGACAGAGTTATGAACTTCAGGGGGTTCTCACCAAGGTACTCAACATACATGCAAAGCAGACTGGAGGAAATTTATAGGCGTCAGGGACAACAGGAAGGTAGACAGAATTGCTAACTCAAAGCTGATGCATTGTTAAATGCTACCTTCTGCCCTTTCCAGACACCCCAATTAGGTGTTAGTAATCTCAATATATATAAGACTTATTTCTTCACATAACAAGTCCAAGAGACTTAACCTAAGATCCCTGGCTTCCGCAAGCTCATGCTTATAGCTTTTAGCAGATCTCAAAGAAGTATGTGACCCAAAAGAGTTTCAAAGAGGTATCTGCAATTACAAGTGCCTCAGAAATTATAAACTGCAAGAAGAAGAAAAAAATTCTGATTCAAACCACTAAATGTCCATTACATTATAAAGCACTGTTCTTTTCACTGGATATCCACTCCATGGACCATCCTGAACTTCAGGTTTGATTTCTGTGATCCAAGTTTTGGTGATTCTTTAGAAGCCTGAAAAACTCAGGTTTTCAGTCACAGGCTTGAAGGCATCCTAAAATACCTATCTTTACTGTCAAAAACCACTTAAAAGCCCAAAGACAAGCATTTTCTGTCCCCCTAACTGGGTTTTAAATTGGAAAGAGAGAAAATAGAAAGTGACACATCTGCCTAGAGTGGCAGGCAGCTGCTGAGAAAGTGGAAGCACGGTCCTAATAAGGACGACTTCTATGATCCTATCATCGGTCCCCCCTCCACCGGTACTATTCACAGGTTTGCCTAGCTGGGATGAGGAGAACCTCAAAACACTTTAGAGTTGTCAAACCCCTGAGAACAATCAAATCTGATGGCGAACTAAATCGATCTGCGCAGACTGGAGATGGTAATGAACAACTTCAACAACAGCCAGATGTACCTCCAAGAGTTATGTTAGAAGCCCCAAGGGGTACCCTTCAACGGTCCCTGAGCTGGCCCAAAAGTAGAAGGCGGCCTCCATCAGAGAAGGAGCTAAAGTAAAGAACGAAAGACTACAGCAAAGCACGTGGTAGGCAAGCTGGTGTCAGGGACAGTGGCGGAGGAAGAAGGGAGCCGGCGACCCACAGAGGACCCGGCAACACGTGCCGGCCAGGCTCCTGATGGGGGGTTGGGGGGAGCCGCGACAAAATAGAGGGGTGCTTCCTTTCCAAGGTGGCCTCGTTGTTGCCAAAATAGGAGGAGGCAGCTATCCGGACCCAAAGGTGAGGGGCAGGAGATACGCCTTGCCTCCTTACCAACGGCCTAGGGTCGAAGCTCGCTCCGGGACTCGCTCTGAGCTCTTCCCGGCAGCCTGCCCGCACCTCCACAAGACTCCAGCCCAGGCCTAGCCGCTCAGGTCCCAGGCACGACTCAGAGCCTTCCCACTACGCCACCCCCAGCAGACCAGTACGGGGCCCTCACTAGCTCACTCCGCATGACCCCACCAGTCCAGCCCCTGGGGGGCTAGCCCAGCACCGTCCCCTTTGCCTTTCCCTCCCAGCCTCGATCTCCAGACCCCTGAGGCCGCACTTACGGTTGGCGATGTCGCCCCCCATCTTATACTTGGTCACGACGAGGTCCTCGGCGATAGTTTGCTCCTGCTGCTCGTCCTCGCCCGACATCTTCCCACCACCACCACCACCACCACAACTGCAGCCTCGTTTTTCCTGAGCCGCCGCCTCTGTCGCCCTTCCCAGCCACAGGCTGCGGCCAGAGCCCCTTCGATCCGCGAGGAGAGCGCGAGCAACAGCGCGAGCAAGCTAGGGAACGGGCGGGCGAGCGAGAGCGAGAAGCTGCGAGCGCGCGGGCTGAGGCGCAGGGCACGCTGGGACAACGAGTCCTTCCTGCCGCCAGCCTCTAGGCGCCTTCACGGACCTGTGAACTACAATTCCCAGCCTGCCTTTCGCGCCCCTAAGCCAGGCCCTGGGGCCTTGCCCTCCAAGGGCCTCGCACGCCGGAATCGCCAAGCACGCTGGGAAGGGTCAGGCTCCCGCGGGAAGGCGGAGCCGTTGGAGAGCATGAGGGGGAAGCGTGGTCTGTCCCGGAAAAAACCACATTCACCAGGAGCGCTGAGGGAGAATCCGTAATAGAGGGGGGCGGGCTATGGGAGAGGGGGCGGAGCCACAGCGGCGAAGTGGGTTTGAAGGCTGCGGGGCAGGGCGGAGCCGAGAGGAATAAGGGTAATTGCACTGAGAGCAGGGAGGCTGGGTACGCCCTTCCCTGATCCCGGGAGCGGCAGGCGGGACCAGCTCAGCCGGTCCGATTGTCCCTAGGTGCTGGGAAACCGGGAGAAGAGCTAGTGGGAAGGAGACCAAGAGTGCGTGGAGCAGGGGCTAACTGAGCAGCCAGACCCGTGAGGGATTATCCATTTACAACCTCCCAGTCTAGAGGCCGGACTCCCACTGAAGATGGCACTATTGTTCCAACAACAGGATTTGATGGCACCAAAGGGAACTGTTCAGAGACTTTTGAGAATGAGAGTTCTGAAACTGATGAGCGTTTCAGTGTTCCATCTCTTAGAGCTTTATCCAACTTCCTCAAACGTGTTGTTTTTGTTTGTTATTCCCAGTTGGTAGCCCTATGGAGATTTCCAATAAAACTCTAAAATGAAAAGGATTTTGCCCTATGACTGTCTTAAGGGGATATAAGTGAAAGTATGGAGGAAACTACATGGGGCCGAGTAGGACTGTCAGAAGACAGAGAAGGCAGCATGCGGTGCTAGCTGTCCACTGCTGAGGAACAGAGAAGAGGGAAGGTCTACCTCACACTAAGGGTTTTCATTTGACAGACAGGAAGCTGCAAAACTTTGGCATTTTTATTCAGACATGTATAAAAACAAAACAAAAAACTTCAGGGATAACAACAGATACCCCCAGTTTCCCATCCAAGGAGGCAGAAGTCTGAAGCTGCTGGGTCCTCTTTGTATCCCAACTGGAAGCTTCCCACCACTGGGTGAGAATAGGTCCCAAAAGTAGCTCGGGGAACCCTTGTGAATCTGTCCCTTGGGTAAGAAGTGGAGATTATATAGGACACATAGGTTATGGTTTACATGAAGATGGCCAGTTCTTTCTCCTTCTCACCACCCCCTGACTCCCACTTCCCAAGATGAGAAGCCCGGGTGTGGCAGGAGGCTGTGGTTGTCGGAGTTAGACTTGATTCAGTGCAAAAACAAGAAGACAATGCCCCTTAAAAGGGCTCTGACTTATGTAAGTTTTCCTTGGTACTTTTAAGAGCACATGCATTGGAAGATTTTGAATCCTGGACCTGCCACTTAATTTACTTAATCTCTTTAAGGCTCAGTTTCCTTATTTGTAAAAATGGGATAATACCTAGCTCACAGAATTGCTGTCAAGGACTGAGATAATGTAGATAAAGTTTAGCATGATGCTTGGCACATAGTAAACGCTCAATTAATAGTAATCATGATCATCTGCTCCCAAACTCTTCACACAATTTTAAGCTTTTCATTTTTTCTAAGGAGTTGAGTCATAAGCCAAAATTTTACTTTCCTCTGCCAGGTTACCCCCTTTCCTCTTTCGTAAAAGCCTAGTGGGAAACTAAGGCACACTTTAAAGCCTAGTCTCAACAGGTCAGGGTCTGAGAGAAAGGGACATGGGGAGTAATCCTTCATATCTCCAGGGAGTTCCCCTGAGGAAGCTGAGGAATGGGATTGGGAAAGCACACAAAATAGGGAAAACCGTTTCCTTTCCTGAGACTGGGAAAGAGAAGAAAGTGCACAGCTGGCTACATATCACAAGAATTTCATGTCCGAGTGTTTAAGGCCTCCAAAGGTTGAATGGAATTGTCAAGGACTAGGGCAGAGGGGCTAAGACCTGTGAGGGAGAGGGACTAAGGAGAACAGGGTTACCCTCTAGAGGAACTAGCTGCCATCAAATGCTCCCTGAGTACCTCAGACAGCAGGGGTTATGTTCTCTGGGCGTTAGCCTTGGGGAAAAGCCTGCTGTGCCAGTAATCAGGGTTGTCAAAGGCAGAGTCAGTGGCTTCTAAACTCCGCAGAGTTTTGAGGCGGGCATATTGAACTTGGGGAGCATGGTGTACAGGCCCCTGGAAAGCTCTCATTTCTTCATAACCTTGCTCAGCTGCTGGGCAGGCCTCCATGGCTGTATAATCCCCTCCAGGACCACCTCCACCACGTCGCCGATTCATATATTCATAGTCCTCATCTGGAGTTGTGCTGGCATTGGGCATGGTGGGCACGGGGTTGAGCGGGCAACTCTGTGTGCTGCCCAGGGAAGCACTGAGGTCTGATCCCACATCCATGTATTCATAACCCAGCTCCTCGAGGGAACTTGGCCTAGGGGGACGAGGTGGACTGCACCTTCTCCTCCGGTTCATGTATTCATACTCCTCATCTTCATCTTCTTCTTCAGTACCCAGGACAGAACTGAGACCCACTGAAGAAAGGGTGCCTTCCCGGGAGGAGGTACCTGGGGATTGAGAAGAGAGGCTAGGGGTGTGGAGAACTTCATGGTAATAAGCAGTGGGAGATGGGGGAAAGTTGGGGGAAAATGAACAGGGAGGGACATAATTAGAGAAGACAAAAGGATTAAGAGGAGCCTGGAGAAAAAGAATTAGAGAAAGACTTGAGGAAAGTGCTGGGGAGTCAGGCACCTTTGAATTGTGCATCTGGCATGACATAACCATTGACATCCTCTTCCTCTAATCCTGGTGGAGACTGTGGGGTGACAGGAGTAAGCAGGCTGTGGCGCTGGGAATGGTAGGCACTGTCTCCACGTGGCCGCGGACTCCGGCTCCGGCTTCTACACATGGACACCTTCTCCTGGAGCTCAGCCTCAGAGCCTGTCACATGGCCCTCCGATGACTCAGAAGCCAGGCGTCCCCGTGGCAATGGGTGCAAAGACGCTGGACGGGGGCACCGTTCATTACCCCCACAAGCTACAGACTCCTAAAGAGGAAAATAATACACAGAGATTTACACAGAGACGAGGGAAGAAGAGAGATTTGTTTAGCAGGAGATTGGGTTGTTCAGTGCCTTCTTTTTTGTGGGACACTGATTAATAAACCTCAGAGGTTTCTAAAGTCTCCCACACTACCCCTATCAATCCTAAAGTAGTCTGCCATCCAGCCTCTCAGCATCCTCCTAAAGAGACAGACCTTACCTGACAAGCTTCCCCAAGATTCCCCTGGTTCATAGGCATATATCCAGATGATGGACTTATAAGGCTCTGGCTCTAGGATGAAAAAAATGAGGAAGAGGCTTAGATTAAGAGAGAAATCTGCTTACCACGGGGGCCTTTGTGTAGTTAACTTGGACATCTGTAGGGTTCACGAGGGCACAGGTGTGCAGAGGGCTCAGGGTGCAGAAAGTCTTGGGTAACTAGAAAGTGCCTTACCCCACGTGGCCGATTAAGTGTTCCAAGTGGCAGGCTGAGGGCAGAGCCCAGTGTGGTTGCCAGGTTGTTCTCCTCTGCCTCCAACTCCAGGTCTAGGTCTAATTCCGGCTCCAGCTCTACTTCCTCCAGTTCATTGTTTGTCAGAGCAGGAGGCTCTGCCCCAGGGGGAATTCCAGGCCCACTCTCTCTCTAGAAGGGCAGGTGGTTGATTGTTAAGGTAGATCCTGGTTCCAGCTGGAGTACCATTTTCTCTGGATCTCCTTGACACCTACTAGTCCCTGCTCACCTTTATGACCAGGTACCGTGGTGGGTCTCGGGCCATCCTAGTGAACTCATTGGCTAGCTCTTTAAAAGTCGGGCGAATGTTCTCATCAATCATCCAACCTGAGAGTAAGATGTAGGAAAAGAGCCATGAGAGGTGAGTAGACTAGGGAGGAAAGTCACTTAGAAATTGGCTGGCATCAGCAGGAAACTCACACTTGACCATGACCATGTAGACATCAATGGTACAGATCTGGGGCTGCGCCAACCGTTCTCCTTTCTCCAGCAGGTCTGGTACTTCAGCCAGTCGCAGCCCTGCATAGGGCTCTGCCCCAAAGGTCATCAGCTCCCAAACTGTCACTCCTGGCACAGGGAGACACGAAGAGTTGATGGCAAAAGAGCAGACATGGGCATGCAGATGAAGGGAAGGCAGAACTTGATCTGACAAAGGATCTGAAGGGCTTAGAGAGTCTAAGGAGGGGTCTCAAGAGACAGCTTTGGAATTTGGGCCAGTGATGGTTTGGAGGGCATCCAGATGGACTCACCATAGCTCCAGACGTCACTCTGGTGTGTGTATTTCCCAAAGTGGATACTCTCGAGGGCCATCCACTTAATTGGAGTCTGGAGGATTAGAGACAGAGATGTCACCAGCTGATTTCCACATTTTCCTAGCATTTCTAAACCTATGTTCTCCATCATTCTTTTCTTTGCTGCTCTCTGAACTTTTATTTCTGGCATCTCCAGCTTCCTCTCCTTGAACTAACCTTGCAGCACCTGCTCGTTCCACGTCCCCATGCTTCACTCCATCCCCACCTCCTTACCCAGGCTTTGCATCACCTTACCTTGGCCTCACTGTGCAGCAGCTGCTTATCATCAGGGGGCAGCAAGTCAGCAACCCCAAAATCTGCCACCTGCACCTGACTGGGTGACTTCAGCAGCACATTTCGGGCAGCCAGGTTCCTATGCACCATACCATGCTCCTCAAGGTAATACATTCCCTGTAGGGGAAGGAAGTATTCTCAAGGGTCAGGGAATTGGTCCTTGAGAGTCAGTCACCCCACACCCTAAGACACCTCTCAGCACTTCAGATTCCCGCTCCCCTCCCTGTTGGCCCCCAGCCAGACAGTTTCATCATAAAACTCCTCCTCTCACCTTGGCAATTTGTACTCCCCAGTTGAGCAGCAGCTGCGGCCCCA